CGTATCAAATTCTTTAAGTCTTAAAATAAAAACAAATATTAGCAGCTGAAACAATTCGAGGCAATAGGTTCCTTCTTTGAAAATCGATAAAGAAATGTCGAAAAATGATATAGGAGGAGAAGGAGTAATAGGTAAAGATGGCGATGTAGTTTTAGTCAAATGGATCAATAATCGGTGTGCTTCCGGCTTCTAACTTTATTGAAATTGGAAATAATAATGTAGTTAAGCGGTGAGACAAGAAAGCAAAAAAAGTATATGGATGTACAAAGTCCTGAGGTGGTAAAACTTTATAACTATCCGGTGGTGGCGTTGATCTATTAGCTCAAATTATCAGTGTATACAGAATTTATATTTTTTTGAAAAAATGGACCATTCGGATGATTTTTCATACCTTAGACTTAACTGCAGTAAATAACTGGTTTGAATATCGACAAGAATGTGATACACTAGAAATTCCAACAAAGGACCGATTAACATCTCTTTTGTTATATAGTATATTTAAATTAACGTTATTGTAAGCTAATTCAACATCTAAAAAAAGAGCTGTTTTTATCATTCTAAGTATCAACTAAGTTTTATCATTCTTTCTAGTGTTTTTGTTATGTAGGAGCTTTAATGAATTAGCTCTATAATATTCTGCCGAATCCGAATTTCGATATGCTTTAAGTATGGAAATCACCCGGTACTCTCTTAAAATCAGATGATTCGAAAGATTTTAAAAAAAGAGTTTCTTTACATAGCGTCAAAATCGAGAGAGAATAAGCCTTAGCTGACCATGACGCGGCCAACCAGTATTCAGCTAAACTTGAAATAACTCATAGAGAGGTTGAGATATAAACCGGAACAAGTTTTTAACGCTGACGAAACAGCCGTTTTTTGAAAAAGAATGCCTGCTTGTACCTTCATATTAAAAAATGAGAAATCTGAGAAAGCTCTATAATATTCTGGCGAATCAGAATTTCGATTTGCTTTAAGTATGGGAATCACCCGCTACTCTCATCAACTATCTGGAATATCTTTTGGTTGCCATACTTGATTAAAAAATTTTAATACTTCTTTTCCTTTTTGATGTAAATTTACCAACGTAATATATCTACTGTATATTATCTATTCCCGGAGAAGTGTGTTTCTTGTTCTTTAGACATATTTCTAATTCGTATTAACTAAATGGCACTTAAAGTGGATGATTAGGGCTTTTCCTTTCCATTACAATAATTTTTGAAAATATATTATCTGCACATAATTGTCTCAAAAACTCCTCAACCCATTCTCCTTCGGTCACTGGATTTGTTTGTAGTTTACAGATGTTTTAAAAACGTTTAACTTGATTCCACATATTTTTTATTGGTGTATTTTAGTTTCACAAAAATTTCTCCATGCATTACGGTTACCCCTTAATATAACTTTTTTGGTTTCTGCTACACATTTAGTATAATTTATATAATTTTGTATATTGGACTGTAACTTAAACTTGCGTAAAGCAACTTGTTGTTCTTGAATAACCTTTGTACAATTGTCATTCCACCAAGTTTTTCTAAATCCTGCATTAAACATGAAATTATCAGTGATAGAAGAGAAAAGAGACCAGTCCGCTTTATTTATATTCCATTGGAATTTTGTATATATACATTCAACTTTATTAACATTAATATTTGACTTTATAATAATAGCAAAATAATTTGATCCTAAAGTATTTTCCACAACATTCCAATCGAAACAATGACCAATATTTGCTGAGCATATTGTAAGGTCTATTGCCGATTTATTAATACTACTAGGTCTACACAGCAAAGTTTCTTTGGCGTTATTTAAAAGTACGAGATTACAGTCCCTAATTGCTTTTATCAGATTTTTTTCCTATAGTGTCTACAGTACTACAACCCCAAACATAATTGTGGCTATTAAAATCACCACCAATTATAAAATGCTTTTCCATACTATTAAAAGTCTTTTTCCAATTTATTTACCGTAATTTTGAGATTTGGTTTTATATAAATAGAATAAATGTTAATCTTTTTACCGGTTTTAATTTTAATTGATATGTTATTACACATTACATAATTGATTGGATAAAAAAAAAAGGACTATTAGAAAATTTTTTTTTCAAAAGTACGGACACACCAACATATCCACCATCCCTATCATTCCTAAAGATATTATAGATCGTAAAGTTAATAAAGTTACTTTTCTTCAACCATGTTTCTGATATTAGTCCTATATCTTTTTTATTGTCATACAAAATTTTTTTCAAATAACCCTTATTTATTTTAATTGACCTCGCATTCCATTGAAGAAATCATAATTATGTTAGCCACTACGATTTAATAATAATAAAACTAAACTGTGTTTACTTACATTTGTTGTATTGCCTTCAATCAATTTTTACTTTATGCGAAATGTTAGTGTTCAACGTCATAAGTAGGTATAATTATGACTGGGATCAACTAGCTTATAAGCTAACGTTTAGAGATGGAAAACTATCGATAGTCCTAATATAAATTATAGGGTTCTATCGATAATTTTCAACCTCTACTAGTTTCATCTTTTTTTTATTTCACAACGTAGTATATTGTTCTGAAGCTATTTTCTTGTGGCATTGTGAATTAATTACTATTAAACTGGGAATAAGCCGCAATTAGCCACAAGATAAAAATACGTTTATTGACGTTTCAATTTCCACTTCGGAAATCGTTCTCAAAATACAAACAGTAAATTAAACAAATTTTGTTTTTTGTTACATAGTGAAAAATTCTTCTAATAATTTAATTTTATCTGACTCATTTATATTGACAATTCAAACATACATTATGCATTTTAAAGTAGACGACTTTAAAATGATATTGCCAATATTGTTGAGTTGCGCTCCTGGGACGACTTTACTTATAAGATAGTTCATTCGATTACATGAAATCAACTTTAACTTGAGAATATCCGTCAGAAAAAAATCATAGCATGTAATTCGTCTTTAAAAAGACAAACACATGACATGATGACACTAAAATTCTCCTGTTAGTGATTCCATAGTAAATAATGAGGGAAAAACCAGGAAAAAAACCTCATAATACTATCCCGACATTGTAAGTATTTGTTCGTGAATTTAGTTTACCTTCAACAAACATCAAAATTCTGATTTTATATGTTACGTTATTTAAAAAACATAAATGATGTATCCTCTATATGTTACTGACTTACTAATACTGGTATTTATTTTCTTATTAATAACTTCCTCTTTCAATATTGGTAACCAGATCCTACTACATTCTGCCGAGGAATTTGCGACACAATTGGCTTCATTTAGCATAATTAGAGCCACTTCTTTGATTTTTCTTTTTTTACCATCCGTTTCTTTTAGGACTACATTTGAATTATTCCATTGAACCCTATGTTCATTATTGAGATCTATTTTGTCCAAAACCAAACCTAACAATGAACAAGAAAGGACAAAGAATTGCATTTATAAAGTACCTTGTGAATGCGATCAGTTTTATTTAGGTGAATCATCTTCTTCTTCTTCTTTGGGTGCCGTGTCCGTATTCAGACGTTGGCCGTCATCATGCTTACAATTTCCTGAAACCTTTCTCTGTCGGCTGCTGCGCGAAATAATTCTTCTACTGTGAAACCACACCATTGTCTAATATTACGCAGCCATGAAAGTTTCTTTCGAACCAAACCATCTCTTTCCTTCCACTTTTCCTTGTATTATAAGGCGAAGTAAATGGTATTTGGGTCCTCTAATTATATGGCCGAAGTATTCTGTTTTTCTCCTCTTTATGATGTTTATGAGCAGACGTTCTGAGTTGATCATTTGAAGAACATCTTCATTGGAAGTGTGCGAAACCCACGATATCTTTAGGATTCGTCTATAGCACCACATTTCGAATGCTTCTAACTTGTTTAGCATTGTGGTTTTTAACGTCCATGTCTCACAACCATACAATAGGATCGACCACACATAACATTTCAGGACCTTCTTACGAATGTTCATTGAATGGCCTTGGTGAATCATCAAGGCCATTAAATGTTAGAATAAGTGAACATCAATCCTATATTAAAAATAGAGAATTTGATAGATCTCAAATCTGTAAATACGCATGGGATAATGAACATAGGGTTCAGTGGAATAATTCAAATGTAGTCCTAAAAGAAACGGATGGTAAAAAAAGAAAAATCAAAGAAGCGGCTCTAATTATGCTAAATGAAGCCAATTGTGTCGCAAATTCCTCGGCAGAATGTAGTAGGATCTGGTTACCAATATTGAAAGAGGAAGTTATTAATAAGAAAATACCAGTATTAGTAAGTCAGTAACATATAGAGGATACATCATTTATGTTTTTTAAATAACGTAACATATAAAATCAGAATTTTCATGTTTGTTGAAGGTAAACTAAATTCACGAACAAATACTTACAATGTCGGGATAGTATTATGAGGTTTTTTTTCCTGGTTTTTTCCCTCATAATTTACTATGGAATCACTAACAGGAGAATTTTACTGTCATCATGTTATGTGTTTGTCTTTTTAAAGACGAATTACATGCTATGATTTTTTTCTGACGGATATTCTCAAGTTAAAGTTGATTTCATGTAATCGAATGAACTATCTTATAAGTAAAGTCGTCCCAGGAGCGCAACTCAACAATATTGGCAATATCATTTTAAAGTCGTCTACTTTAAAATGCATAATGTATGTCTGAATTGTCAATATAAATTAGTCAGATAAAATTAAATTATTAGAAGAATTTTTCACTATGTAACAAAAAACAAAATTTGTTTAATTTACTGTTTGTATTTTGAGAACGATTTCCGAAGTGGAAATTGAAACGTCAATAAACGTATTTTTATCTTTAATTGTGACTTATTCCCAGTTTAATAGTAATTAATACAACGTAGTATGTTTTCCATCTTTTGCGTAATTTTTCTGATTCTTAACGCACTTATTACAAAAATGTTGAACTATTAAATACTGTCTACTCAAATGTTAATTTGTACATTAGAACTTACGCATATCCATCAGTCCATTCTAAATTATCCAATAAACTCCATACTGTTACCCCTAGTACTTTTACGTCGTAGTTGTACATAGCTTCGAGGACTGCATTAAATGCTTCCTAAAATAAATTCTATATTCCTTAAAAAATTTTGATTATTTATTTATTCAGAATAAACAACTATCGCACCAAATATCCTTTTTAACAAGTCAAAATCCAGACCAAAGCTGCCTTCAAAATACAATTTTTAAAATCAAATTAGGTTTTTTATATCTTTAATAAATAAAATGTAAACAAAAATTTACGCAAGATTTGAATTAAATACAAAACACTTTTTTTATTAAGTAATTTTTTATGACTATAAATATGAACACAAGCTCATTAGCGTTTCTGGAGGTGTTCACAAAGGAGGATATAATCTAACTGAAGTCTACAGTAAACCAACACACACCGCCAAATATTTAAATTATCATTTAAATCACATTAATATCCAAAGAGGAATCAAAGACTTTAATCAAAAATGATTTATTTTTGCAACTTTCGTCTGCCATTTCTGAGTTTTGCACCAAATTACGCGATTTTTGCCATTCCATAACGATTCTCGAACGTCAAAATTAAAAAGTAATTATAAATGTCATCCAATTTATAACAATATAAAATCGCCTCTTTAATAACGCCTGATTTCATATTCAATTTAAAATGAACATTAAATAAATTTAAAGTCCACTTTTTCTTTCTGCTATTTTGACTATGAATTATTCGTAGTCAAAGAATGTTTAAATCAAGAATTAAGTAATAATGATAGGAAAATTTGATATTTCATTTTAATTATCTATTTGTCTAATTTATTAAACTCTTATTAGAATACTGGTTTCCAAATCCATATTCAAGCTGTTATTTATAGCAAATTTTTGCTATAAATAATTTTTTAAAGCCGGAACTGATGTTTTTATAATTTGAATAAATCAGTTGATTCGGTGGTATTAGTTTAAAGTAAGTAAGTTAGTTTGACCAAAATATGAGAAACATCAAATTTACCGTTCAAAAGTTATGACTTATAGAAATTTTAATCAAAATTCCCCCTGTATAGGATTAACCAATAGAAGCCGAATCTTTTTATTGATAATTTATTATTCTTCATAGGCCTACATATGTGGTAGGAGTATATAAAGTTCATCAAGAGTTACCCTGTATACTAAGAATGTACCCTGTATACTAATAACTGTAGTATTTAATAGTTGTGTCCAGTTTTTAAATGACAGTTAAAATTATGTATTATATGGTTACCATTGTATACGTACTTCATAAAAGTCTATTCTCATATCATCTTCTAAAGAAGATCCGTCTTCAGAAGTGCCTACTTCTGTAATGAGTATATCAGGATCCTTGTATTCGTCCTTAATAAATTTTAACACATTTTCTACACTCCACGGTACGATCTACAAATTCATAAAAAATAAACAGAAAAGAAAAATTCGTAATTTATTTTAAAAGAAAATAATAGGTTGTTTGAATTGTCTAAATAAAAGGAAATGTGAATTCTTATATATACATGTATACAGGGTTGGAATTAAGTATGGAACCAAGTATTATTAAACCGTTTTCATCCATGTCCAACAAAGTAGATGGCACCTCTCTACCTTAACCACTGCAGCAGTAAAAGTTTAGGAGACATTCGTTGGACTTTTCGAGTTTGAATTCGTATCAGCCCTAGTGTCTGACGAAGCAGAGATGCTGAAATGAGGTCGTAATACTCTATTGATAACGATTTTAGGACGGGAAGTTTAACGGATTTGTTTTCCTATGCCATATATTTGACTATTCAATTCGATAAAGTGATAGCAGCTATATTATATATATATATATATATATATATATATATATATATATATATATTAAAAGGCCAAATATATGGCCTAGGAGACAAATTCGTTAAACTTCCCGTGCTCGAATCGGTATCACCAAAGTGTTATGATCATTTCGGCCTATCCCAGCCATCGTCAGACACTTGGGCTGATACAAATTCAAACTCGGAAAGTAAAACGAATGTCTCTCAGAACTTCACTACGGCGTAGTTAGCTTACAAAGGCGCCACCTGCTTTGGTGACCGTGAACGAAACGATATGATAATATCGTTTTCTGTATCCATTTTTCTATGCGAAATGTGAAAGATTAAATCTTTTAGCGAAAGCCGCTATCGCTTTATTATATTAAAAGGCCAAATATATGGCCTAGAAGACAAATTCGTTAAACTTCCCGTGCTCGAATCGATATCACTCAAGTGTTATGATCATTTCGGCCTATCCCAGCCATCGTCAGACACTTGGGCTGATACAAATTCAAACTCGGAAAGTAAAACAAATGTCTCCCAGAACTTCACTACGACGTAGTTAGCTTACAAAGGCGCCACCTGCTTTGGTGACCGTGAATGAAACGATATGATAATATCGTTTTCTGTATCGTTTGTGCTATGCGAAATGTGAAAGATTAAATCTTTTAGCGAAAGCCGATATCGCTTTATTATATTAAAAGGCCTTTAACTAAGGCTAAATATTATCTTTAACTTACGGGAAATCCATTAACTCCGACACTAGTTCCTGGAAATTGAATGAGTTCCGCTTTAATATCAGATCGGAAACTAGTAATATTACTGGGAGCTTCGGGTACATCTTTAGCTAAATACGCAACATAAACATTCAGCAAATACAAATCAGAAGTTCCTTTTATGTAATTAATCTCTTCTGGAGTAAATTCTGGTAATCGACTTCGGTTATATCCTTCAAGCTCACTTCTTAATTTGACGCGTTCTTTCACGCTTGGAGGCCAATCACCATGGTATATTGGATAAGAGTACAAACCACACTAAAACAGGATGTATTTTTAAAGTTGAGTACATGACTTAATTAGACGACACATATCAAATCAAGAAATATTTTTTATGGAAAGTTATTTGAAATTAAATAAAATATCTACGCATTCATGCTATGATTTATCTGTAGACATAATAAGAAGAGACTTCGTAGGGTATGGTCCGCGGTGTAAATAGAAGTGAAAGGCTAATATTCACTTTGAGTACAGTAGCTATCATTGTCTATCAATGGTAAAGGGAGATAAATTGTAGCGTTTTTAAATTCCTTGGTATGTATTGATATCTCCTCGTATATGTTAAAGCACCGAAATATTTTTTCAATCCTTTTACGTCGACAAGTTGATAATATAGACATTTTAAAGTTTGTTTATATATCACAGACGGATATTCTTTGATATTTTCTTTGATCGTTTTCCATTTAATATGCGTTTTAAATAAACATCTATTAAGATCGCTAAAAAATTATTCCGGGAAGAGAATTTAGCTTTAAATTCGTGCTGCATTTAGTTTTTTGTATTTTTTATGGGAAAATATGTCGCAGTGTAAAGTTTTATGTGCAGTTCTTGAGGTTTAAAATATTGGTCATTGAGAGGAGACAGGCGGCGTGGTAGTATGAGTGAACCGACAAATTTGTTGAAAAAATGTGATTTATACTCAATGTAATCTGTCAATTTTTAGATTAGAGTAATCGCTGTTTCTGTTTTATGTCGTGTCTCACCTAAGAGATTAGTACCCAAGAAATTTCGGCGTTTCCAACCAATTTGAAAAATACCCACATGGTTCTAGGTTTTAAAAGAAGCAGATTTTCGAAGTTTGTATCCAGTGAAAAACTTTTAACCTCAATTTGTCTAACCTAAGAAGCCGTTTCAAAATTGTTTTCCACAATTTGCTTCGAGATGAATTTGTTCGTGTGGCAGAAGGTATAAGTCCAGTTCCTAAACCCAGAAATTTTAGTGCAATCCAGGTAATTTTTTTGTTTAATTTTTTCTAATAATAACTGTTTTTATAGCAATTTAAGCAATTGTAATAATTAAAATTAGATACTAAACAGATGGGCGGATCATTTTGAAGAACTGCTTAGTGGCACTCACGAAGATGGCGAGATGGAGGATCCCATGTTTCAAATGAATGAAGATGATCGGCACTGTCGAACTTTTCAAAAACTGCGGCGACCCCCTCTTAAAATACATGCATTAACTGATAACTGTAATTTGGCAACAGAAAGAAACACCCACAGACTGGAAGTTAGGTGTACTGTGTCCTATACACAAAAAGGGAGACATCATGATGTGTAATAATTATAGAGGCATCACTCTACTCAATATGGCATATAAAGTGTTGTCCAACGTATTGTACAAAAGACTCCTCCCCTACGCCGAACAAATAGTGGGAGGATATCAGTGCGGTTTCCGTCCTAATAAATCAACAACGGACCAGATATTTACAGTGAGGCAGATCCTTGAAAAACCCTAGACCCATCACATATGTGTTGACTTCAAAGCCGCATACGACTCCGTTAATAGAAATAAACTTCTACTTGCTATGGTAGAATTCCGCATTCCGTTTGATCTTGTAAAGTTAACTGAACTTACACTTACAGGTGCAGAGAGCATGGTAAAAATCCAGAACGATCTCTCAAGACCCGTCCATTGCAAAAATGGACTAAGACAGGGTGATGAACTATCGTGTCTCTTATTTAACCTGGCATTAGACAAAAAAAATCAGGAGTCGCAGATTACTATGAATGGTACTATCTTTAACAAATCAGTACAAATTGTCGGATACGCAGATGACATAGACACCATAGGTAGGTCCACAGAATCTCTGACTGAAGCGTTTCGGTCGTTAAGAGCATCTGCACACAGAATGGGACTAAATATAAATGTTCAAAAGACCAAATATATGCACTAGGTCAAGCAACCCGACACCTACCACCTACACGAATAATAATTGATGACCTAGAACTGGAAGATGTCGACACCTTCATATACTTAGGGTCGCTACTAACTAAAGATAACGTCAGTGAGGAAATTAAAAGAAGAATAGTGCTCGCCAATAAGTGTTACTATGGCTAAAGAAAGCAGATGGTCTCAAAAATGCCTAGAAAAATTAAACTGACTGCATACAAAACACTAATAAGACCAGTGCTAACATATGGTTCAGAAACTTGGACACTAACACAGAATGACCAAGAATTGCTGAAACGTTTTGAGCGAAAAATACTAAGACGAATATATGGAGGCATAAAAGAACAAGGTTTATAGCGCAGGTGTTACAATTTTGAGTTGTATAGAAGATTTGGAGAACCTGACGTTGTAAAATTCATTAAGGTAGCACGCCTTAGATGGATAGGTCATGTAATCAGACGAGAGGAAGATGCCATAGTCAGAAAAGTTTTTGATCAAAGATGGCCGATCGGACAACGAAGAAGAGGAAGACCGAGACTTAGGTATCAAGACAACCTAGAAAATGATTTGAAGTCTATCGAAATTAGAGCATGAAGAAGAGTTGCCAGAGACAGGGGCGACTGGAGGATTGTTCTGAAGAAGACTTTGGCTCATAAAGCGCTGTAACGCCACTGATGATGATAATTAAAATTTTAGATCTTAGGGTGTGGCTTAGCTGCTAGTTTAATTGTTCCAAGTTTGAAGATTTAGTTTTGACACAAAATATGACAGTTAGCACTATTTTTGAGATGTGATAAATACCAAATCATAACAGATGTTTTACTTTCTTCTTTTAAAAAAAAGGTTAACCTCTATGCATATTTTTACTTAAAACGATATTTTTTCATTTGTAATTAATTTATTTCTGGTACAAATTATCGCCCAGTAACAATTCTAAATTCTTGTAGTATCTCCAACTTCTAGAGTTTGTAAACTGATAGAACATAGTAAGTGATTTTCTTTATTATTATTGTATTTTTTTGTACTATTTACTTTTGTAACTGTTTGTGGTGAGACAGTAATAAATGTGTAATTTTTTCCCTAAACCATTTTGTTGATGTATTTTTTAAAAGTTGATAACCTTTTTTGTGTTTTTAGAAAAGAAGAACTTTTACTTTCATCCAGTAGGAAGATTTTTCAAAGCAGCGTCCATTTTAAATAGTTTTGAGAACCTTCTTGTGTTTTGTTTATCCAGGAGACTCATGTAAGTACCCGTTTATTTAATTTTTGTAGTTGCCGCTATCCAATCCTCTTGCCGTTCACTTATCCACAACCTAGTTCTCCAAATAAACCCTGAGTGGCCGTTTGCCAAAGTTTCGATTGGTTTTGTTTGCCCTATCTCCACTCCAAGAATTTCTGTCCCCAATTTTTAATCTTTATTATAATACCCTATGTGGTAGGCAAAATAATCCGTTATAGCATCGATCGGGAGCTCTGTGTTTCACTTTTTTGCTCATGATGCCTTGTATATTCTTATTATGTTTATGGTTTTATCACACTACGGATTGTTTAGGTATTTGTATTTTAAGACTATAAATAAAAATGTAAATCAGGTCTAACTATTTTACTATTTTTATTCTATAAATAGCTGGCGCTCTTCGATCAACCATCTGTTTACTATATATGTATTCTGCCATAGTGCAAATTCCGATTTTAATTTATACTTAATATTCTATTTCCTGTATTCAACTTCAGTCTGTTCTATGCCGTAGAACATATATAAATTTCTATGCCCAAACTCAGCCGACAAAGTATATCTGTGAGTTAGCAACTCTGCTTTAATATGTTACTTTAATTCAGTAGAAGGGAAAATACTCTTTTACAATGTCTTTCATCTACTTAAGCTGGATATTCTTTCTAAAATTCATTTATATTGTTAAACCTTTTCATGGGGTGAGTACATTTCATATTTCTTTTATATCTGTCTTTTTATAACTTCATATTTAACTTTTTATACATAACCTCCAACCCACGTGTTTCGTTTCAAGCCTTATGCAATTAGAATCTTTCAATCTTTTCAATCATTTCTAATTTGCTATTTTCACTTTAATATTGTAATTATTTGCAACCATTACTTGACAAGCAAATATTTTAAAGGGTATGCAGTCGCTAACTTAAGGTTTATTATTTTAGTTTTTAGGCTTTATTAATTTTTTGTTGTCCACCTTTTGGTGGGACATATCGTGCAACTTTCTTAGCCTCGGTAAGGACTTTCTAAAGTATATGGTCGACCACGTGATAACAACTTCAGCTGTTATTTAGAACTCAACGGCCACCTGAAGATACCTAGACAACAATATTTGCGATAAGTGTCATTCTAAAATTTTTGTAAAGCTGTAGGTAGAACTTGCTTCGTTTTTTATTGTAATATTAAATTTCAATTTTATATTTTTGTTATGTATACTAAATATAACTAGTGAATATCGTGGTTTATTTGTCATAGTCAAACTCATTTTTCAGATTTACTTTTAAGATAAGTCAACTAAAACTAGTAATTTTGGACTAGGTTTGACAGATTCGGTAGTTTTCTAGGATCTCAGTGAAACTACGATACATTGGTTCACAGACGAGGTACGTGATTTGTGGATTGGATCGTTCAGAGTCACATTTTTTAAACCTATGATTGTCGCCAGTCGTTTTATGAATTTTTCCAGTCTGGTTTGATTTTAATTGATTGGTCAATGATTTTTCTTCTGAGAATTTTTTCAGTACTAGCCTGGTGTAAGTATAATATGAATGATTGTATTGTGAACATAAAAGAGAATTTTGGAGAGATCGCGTAAAGGTCACTGCAGGAATAAATCTTTTAATATGGAGTTTTGTCAGAATTATCATATTTTATCCCTAATTTGTTTAAATAAATAAATACACAGATGTGAATTGTAATGCTTACTTCAAAATCAATATTTCTTCTAGCTGCATTAATATCTTCCTTGGAATTCGTTAATGGTTCATACCATTCACAGTCTATGGTTAATGACATTTTAGCTAAAAAAAAAGTAAACTGAATTGCTCTGATTTTTTAATTATATCCGTCAATTATTTAGTTTTAAGTTTTAATAAGACTTATATAACATTAAATGTTTCTTAGGGTCTAGAATTTTTTGATACAAACATAGAATTTTATTAAGAAATCGAATTTAAAACTTCTCTAAACAAAGTAAATTTGACATTAATATAAATAATATTCTATTTATTTTTAGTAGCCATCTTTTACAATTAGAAATGGATTTAATAGTCAATCGAAACGTACCTATATATTGATACACGAAAAGTATATACCAGTTTATAAAAAAAAATTTAATATACAAATTTTTCTAAAACAATTTAATTTAATTTTTATTTTTTTGAGTTTTGACATGAGAAACTTATGAACCAAAATGTCCAAATCATACCCAAACGATTGGGTACATTTTACTAAATATATATACCGAATGGGTGCATTAACACTACCTAAGGTTTAGGCACAAAGCGGTTTAGTAGTTGTAAAAAGCAGACAAAAACCGCCTGAATGCATTTATCTCAACATTTCATGTTTGACTTTTCGACAAATCTAACCTCAATATTTACATAAATACTTTTATAAATTATTATTCTTGTTCAGTGCCAAACTGTACTTTCATTATTCCATTGCAAATTCATTTTTTAGATCAATCGAAATATTTAATCAAAAACTTCAACATTAACTCATAATTGCGTACCACGCTTGCCCATAATCTGTGGCTTGCCCTAACAACCACTGAGTTTATCCAGCGGAAATAATAATAGAAAAAACAACAAAAACATAATAAAAACATAAATTTATTTTCGGTAATGTAGAGTCATTATTATAGGTGTCAGAACTCAAGAAAGCATAAAAAAAGACTATAAAAATAGAGATGCAGCCCTTACCATCAAGAGATATGAGACAGGGTCTTCGTAAAGACTAATAATTGAAACATGGCGAAGAAACTGTTTTGTCTGTACGCAGGTGATCACATTTACTAAAATGACTGGATAGTTTTAACAGATGAAAGATAACTAGCTGCGATGATGATATTCGGTGGCCAGCCAGTTACGAAGGCTATAATAAAGGCCTCAAACTATTTTAGTGTGTTAAGAAATATGTAATATTGACCATCAACTAACAGGTGCTATCAAAAGTCTGTATCAAAATAACAAGAGTTATGTACGTAAGGATAACTTGGAATCAGAGATGTTTGCAATAAACGAGGGTCTAAGACAAGGAGGTGTTATGAGCCCCACACTATTCATATTGATTATTGACGACATAATTAAGGAAACAAAAGCAAGTATACACAAAGTACATATCGGATATAGTAAACTACGACCGGTTGGTATAGCTGAGTGTGCATTCGCAGATGATCTCATGTTATGCGCTTCCAACGAAAGGGACCTCCAGAAAAATATAGATACCTGGAATAATGAGCTGGCAATCAGAAACATGAGGATTAATGTTAAGAAAACCAAGGTGATGCTAATAGTGAAAACTAACCGAAATGTTAACATAGAAATTAACCAACAACTCGTAGAACAAGTAGATGCATTCAAATACCTAGGGGTTACAATAGACAGAGAAGGTACCATGCAGAATGAAATAACAGAAAGAATCAGTAGTGCTTCAAAAGTGTACCATAATCTTAGTAGAGCATTCATAGGTAAACCGGAAATCAGCAGAAGAACCAAAATGACAGTTTATAAGACAGTATTCCGACCAATCTTGATATATGGAAGCGAGAGCTGGGTTTTAACAAAGCAATTAAAAAGTAAGATACAAGCCATTGATATGAAATATCTAAGACGAGTCAAAGGAATAACACGACGAGACAAAATAAGAAATGAAGATGTTAGAGAAGAACTGGGTACAGAATCAATACTACATGCTATTGAAACACAACAAATAAAATGGTTTGGTCATTTGTGCAGAATGAGCGACAACCGACCCGTTAAGCAAGTCTGGAAGGCTAAAGTGAAAAGGTTTAAAATTAGAGGCAGACCACGGAAAACCTGGTATGACGAAGTAGGGCAGATTTTGAAACGTAGGGGATTGGAATGGTCAGAAGCTCAAAATAAGGCAAAAAACAAGAAAGAATGGACAAAATTCGTGCACAGAATAGAATAAATATTTTCATTGGATTTGAGATGTAATGTATATCTGTAACCTGTAATTGTATTGTATTGTATTTACCTCACACCTTAGGGTAGAGAGGTTTTCGATTATATATATATAAGAAATATGTATGTAGACTTGAATGAGATAGAACAAAATAATTATTAAGGACATAAATAAATAATATTTAACCGAAATCTTTAAAATAAAGAAAAAAAATTAAATTATAACCACCACTATGTAACGAAAATATTACCTTGATAGTGCGGAAACTCCTCCTTATACATATGGTAAGCCGCCGCATGAGCTTTAAGTACAACATAGTCACATTGATAGTCGTCCACACCGCTATTATTTCTTCCTGGAGCAAACTTACCCTCACCATAGCCATGATGACAGATCTGTTTTGGTTCGTTTACGGTTATCCAGAGGCCTACATCAGGAAGATTCTGAATTACAACGCGTGTGTAGTTCACAAAAATGTCAATAACATCAGGATTGACCCAGTCTAAATTAGAAGCAACAAGCGTTTGCGGAAGTTCCCAGTGATATAATGTAGCTATTGGTATCATATTGTATTTCAGAATTTCTTTGACTAAATTCTGGTAATACTGGATACCTTTCTGATTGATATTGTCGGTATAGCCAGTAGGGAGAATCCTGTAAATTAATTTTATTTATGAAATGCAAGCTTGTATAAGCGATGATTATATTAGGATATTGGTACAGGATCTTTGCAGCTAAAAGAACTAGAGAATCGATTAAAGGAAAAAATATTGACTGCTCTATAGGAGTCTTTCAGAATATGTTTTACGTTTTTTTTTAATTTTATGCATAGTTCGATTGCAATCATGAAGTTATAAAATGGTACTTATTGTAATAATTTTAAACTGTAAAAAACGATTAAGATGGCGCAGCACCTTAACAGGTGTAGGCTATTTGTGAGAAAAGCATATTCCGTGTGAAGTTCTCTATCTCTCATCGAACGTATTCCAAGGTGGTGTATAGGGGAATACCCTAACCGGTCCTAGGACGGGCGGGTAGGGCAGAAATAAAATACCCCCAGCGAACCAAAATAGACTAGGGTATGGTAACCCTGGAGGTTAGGGTTTGGCAGTGGGTAAAAACCCTAAATCGTAAATCGTAAATCAAAAACTTCCCAACGAAAACTTCAAAACAATTAACCAGACAAATATTTCGGTAACGACCAGGCAAACGAAACAAGGTTTATGATATTGGTTTATTTGCATGGGACATTCAAAAGTATAGGAAGGACATGGACCTTATCAAAAGCAACGCATGAATAGGCGGCGGACATCATAGCCCTTCAGAAAGTCAGATGGACAGATAGTGGCGGTCTAGGGGAAAAACCAAATTCTCAAAGGAGTCTGACAAGGGTATGTACTGTCGCCATTCCTGTTCAATTTATATACTGATTTCATTTTTTAATAATCCGTATAAGATATTGCAATTGAAATCAAGGAGAATGGAAAACCTATTGATATTTCTGTTATGATGACGACACAATCCTCTTTGACAATAATGAGTTGCAGTTCCTAATAAATAAAGTCAATCACATGGTCTTAAAATAAAAATAAATATAGCAAAATTCATGGTCATCAGCAAACGTGATGTAGGCAATGTCATATTACGAATAGTAAATCAGAACATAGAAAGAGTAAAGATATTGAAGTACTTGGGATGCTGACGTAACTATAAATGAAACCGTGATGATAAATTCAAAATTATATTTGAAATAGCCAGGAATATGTACTTTAAATTGAGTCCTGAGTCTGACTTATAGACGGCGTGCCGATAAATGCTAGGTACAGTATATACTGTTTAGGGGAGTTTAAGGGCCATGTAACGTCTGGGTTCTTTTAAGATGTGGTTCGAGAGAGTCTAAATAATCAAGTGTTCGAGAATATAAAAGAATGCATACAGATAAGGGACTATTAACAATAGTTAAACGAAGAAATATAAGCTTATTTTGACCATATTTATAGAAACGAAGTATGGTTTTAAGAAGTTGATCGTAGAAGTAAAAATCGAACGAAGACAATGCATCGGACAAAAGAAGTTCTCTTGGCTGCAAAACGTATGCCAATGACTCGACATCAGGGAAGCCAGCACAATTGTATGATTAGTACAAGATAGAGAAGAAGTCGAGTAGATGGTCACCATCCTCCAATGAGGAGAAGGTACATGGGGAAGAAGAAGAAAGTGGTAATAACAGCGGCCATAAAACCGGTTACATTTTTGGCTCTAAAGATAAAGAAGACGATGAGAAGAATCTATTGTTAATAAATATTATCAGCTTTCGAGCGTAAGATTCTATTTGCTCGTAGGCGTAACAACGTAGAGTTATAGAGAAGCTTCAGGAAAGCTGAAGTTGTAAAATTAATTAAGGTAGGACGCCTTAGATAGATTGAACTAGTGAACAGACAAGTGGGATGCCCTAATAGAGGTAGACCAAAACTTGGGTACCCGGACTACTTCGAAGATGACAAAATCTATCAAAGTTAAGAATGGAGAGGTGTTTTTAGCGATAGTACGAAGTGGGGAATCTTCTGAAGAAGGCTTTAAATGTGGTAGTGCCAATGAAAATGATGGTGATAATGAAAAATATAGAATTTAAGCTTTATTATCTATTTGGTGAAATAATCTCATATCTTTAGTAGTGTAAAAAAAGATGTAATACAATAATTAGTTGTATATATATATATATATATATATATATATAAATATATATATATATATATATATATATATATATATATATATATATATTATCTTAACAAAAGCTTAAGTTTGAATAATTTAGGTTTTTATATTAAAACTGTATCAAAGATAAAAAACTTTTAAATATTACATTACCTTGGCCAGGATATTGAAAACCTATAAAAATCGGCGCCAAGATCCGCTACCAGTTTAACGTCTTCTTTATATTTATGGTAGGAATCACAAGCTATATCCGCTGTGTCGTTATTCTTTATCGGGGATGGCACTCGATGTGTAAATTCATCCCACATACTTTCTCCTTTACCATCTTCGTTCCATGCCCCTTCGATTTGGAAAGAAGAAGTTGCTACTCCAAATAAAAAGTTAGATGGAAAAGTTCCATTATTTTTGGCATCAGAAAATCTATAAAATAATGTAGTTTCAGATTAAAACTAAATTTACCATGCAAATTTTTAAATATAAATGTATGCTCAGTACAAAAAACTTATAGAAGTGGAATATAAAACTGCAAAATCCCGCGAAAAGCATAAAAAAAGTTAAAAATATGAAAAATATAACTTCTAATCTACAAATTGTCGAATGTTTTTAATTTGGTCTTAAGACATGTATAATGTATATGTTACTATTAAAACGCGAATATTGGATACTACTAGAATAGAGTAAAGCTACATATTTGTAAATATTTCGTTGTATTCTAGATTTATCTGGTTTATACTTTATTATCCTGTTAAAATAAATAACCGTTTGAAATTTGGAGTAAAAATGAATATAATTTTTATCGCTGTTAATTATATCAAGGTCTCAATGCTTAGTTATTATTTTACTTTTATCCAGCTAATTTGGATAATATGCAAAGTATCCGAGTAAAACTAGTTTTACCTAATTTTGAGGTTACAACCATAGAGCCCTAATGGTGTACAAAATTTTGAAAGAAGGAATTGGGGATATAATAATCCCGAGCTGGATATGCACGTTAATAGTGAGACCAATAATTACTTATGCAGTAATGTCTTGATACAATAGAGACAGTACAAGCAATACGAGAACAGTAAGATTTTCCAGAGATCACGATGCACTGCTGTTCTTTTCCATGAATCCTTCCCACTTCGTCGTCCCATCTCTCCCATCTCTTTTCTTTTTGTCTTTCAACAGATCTTTTTTATTGCATCCTCGTATTTAGTAATTTTCTGGGGATTCTGTTCTCATGAATCAGGACCAGGTGTCTTGCTTACCGTAATCGCTACAGCCTGATGTATTGTGCTAGGCAAGATAATAGGAATCACAATAGTCATAATAAACTTTATTAGTTTTAATATATCATATATATATATATATATATATATATATATATATATATATATATATATATATATATTTCACCGAATGATTGCCAGTATAAGCAATCCCCAACTTACTGACCAACGGCTTCGGGCGGAGGAGTTAGTAAGTGGAAGGGCACTCTTGTCCGGAGGTTGTGAAACTGGCCCTAAAGGTGGATGAACCGAAAAATAGGCCAATAGCGCAAGAATGCAAAAAGCAACCAGAAACCACTGCATTACAGACTCACGGACTACCCCTAGTAAAGTCATAAATGGCGAATGACAAAAAAAAAACAATTTTACTAATTATGGACCACGGAATCCAAGATCCGACAATGAAGGAATAGCTGTAGACCACAGGGCCTCCTAGGTCGTAAACCAGAGAAATCTCTGCGCATTTAAGACATAAAAAGTAGCAACCTGGAATGTCAGAAGTATATTTGCAAGCGGTAAATTAGCGAACATACTCCTCGAAATGTAAAACTTCCAAATTTATGTTCTAGGTAAGTATAAGTAACGTACAGTGGCCAGTCAAGTCAAACAAATTACAAATAAGAGAACCATGTATTATTCAGGTAATAACGACGTCAATCGTTGCTATCTTAATTGCGACAAAGGTCAACTACTCTGTAATAAGCTTTACTTCTTATTCTGACAAGATCTTTACATTACAACTCCAGTCTAAGAAAGATATCTTCTTCTTCCAGTACCGATTTTACTAATGAAGGTTGGCTATATTTACTGCAAATTTGTCTCTATTTGCTGCTTTTATTTAAAGCATCTGTGTGTTCAACCCAGCCCATGGACTGATAGACTCCCCTTTGTTCTTTGATTTTACCCTTCATAATAAGCTGCAACAACTCATACTTTAAATTTTTTAGTATGTACTGTCTCTTCCCATCCTATGCAAACCATTTCATTCATATAATATGTTTGGTCCATGGTATTTTTCAAATTCTTCTAAAAATCCTCACCTTAAAAGCTTCCAGCTTTCTAGTTCAGGACTAAACTGCTAAAAGTCAACATTAACAGTTTAAGATTTATCATCCTTTTTTTATGTGGTTGGAGGGGTGCCAGTTTTCAACATCCCTTCATGGAGAGTCTTGTATGCTAACAGTGTCTCCTTCAGCGGTTTGTACTTGCTGTAAGTCCAATTATTTCGCTAGCCTTCGAATGCTCAGCCTGTTGAACAGATTTATAGAGTGAAATAAAACAATTTCTTTTTACCTAGAACTGTAATTGAAAAAAAAACAAGAAATAGAAACTTATAAATTGTGAGTGAATAACTAATCGTAAGGAACCTAATTAAAAAATTACAGTTTACCAACGAAAACACCATAACACTTCACATTACGGGTTCCCGATATATTGCGTAACTTGCGAACGTGAAGAATATCTCTCCGAAAATTGAAAGGTAGGTCTATGCCCTGCAACTGTCGCTAATTCACTGGCGTCCCCTGGCCCTTCAGGTCAATCCATAAAAATCAAGAAGTTGGAATACTTGGAGCATATCATAAGAGTTGAAAAATACAAAATATTAAGGAAGATAATGCAGGGCAAAATCAAATGCAGAAGAAGCGTAGAAAAAGGTAAAATGTGGCTACGCAATCTCCATGAATGGTTTGAATGCAGTTCAATAATTGAACTATTCAGCTGCGTAACCAACAAAATTATAATTGCCAACATAATTTCCAATCTCCGATAGGATTGGAACTTAAAGAAGAAAATATCTAAATATATTTTCAATATCCAGTAGAAGTAGCATAATGAGAATTCTAACTTTAATATTCCTACTTGTGTGTAAATACTTAAATTAGATTGATTTTTTTTCTATCTTTCAAATATAAGCTCGCAATACTTTTTCAACTTTTTCTCGCGTTTTTCTCGGTTAAAATATTATTTGTCTTAGGCAATTTTGTTGATTCGTCAATTTCGTATAATTTACTTTCAAATTTACCTTGACATAATATATTTATCCTAAATTTAATAAATCCTGTAAATAATTATAAAATGATTATACAGTTTTATAAATAATAACATTATTCTCACATTTTTATTTATGTGATTATTACGTTGATCTTCAAACTTCATTAAGTAATAAAATGTGCGATTAGAGCACTATTAGGCTTAAATTGGGAAGTTTATGGTATGTACTTTAATTATATACCCCAATTTATACAAAAGAAAAGTTGCAGAAAATACGAATTTATGATTATACACTATACAGAGTGAACCAAAAGTCTAGAAACGCCTAATTATCTCTTAAACGGATGGTCCAAATTGGTGGTACAAAAATCGGGATAAGCATATTTTGCAATATTGAGGTAGCAAATTTGCTGTTTGCAATTTTGCAAGATTTACCATTTTCTTGATATCATGTGTTACTTCTGTTTTTTTAAATACAACACTCTGTATATTATATTATTGTTGGACTCATCACTTCAAAACAAGTTTAATCACATTATGCAACACTTGGTATTTTAGCTAGTTACGAAGGTCTTAAATAAATAAAACTTCTTAGTGCCAAATAATTTTGTAGTAATTAAATGAATATAGAATGCTTTGATTTCGACATGTTATCTCATAAAACTAACACTACCTTGATATTTGTTAAAATGTAAGTTATTTTCATGTAATTGCCAGAGTAATCGGTGCGTTTTGATTTGGTTTGAGTCTTCTTACAAACTCCTTCTGATGACGAGTAGACCCAGAAACACGTGTCAGGAAGTGGTAAGAGACTCAAATTAAATCAAAACGCAACCTTCTTTGTATATTTGTTAAAATGTTGTGTAAAATGAGTTGGAAACTAAAGCTGACAGTTGTTTTATGTGTTTTTAAAGGCTCCTCAATTACTTTTGTAATTATCAGGGGCTGCGGCAATAGAAAAAGGTCTTATAGTGAAGTAGCCACCTTATTCAACGATATTTTCCTAAACCATTCACCTATCCATAAGGCGACGCAACGTTACAAAAAAATGTAAAAAGCTTTAAAAAATTGGACGAATAAAAGATAGCATTCGAACAAGTAGACCAAAAACTCAACTTTTAAAAGTAGAGCTGTAGGTCATTCTTCAGTCTTGCATCTATTACATAAAAATTTGTTTAAACCCTGCAAAATCCAGTTGTTGCAGAATATAAAAAAACTGGTGTGGCAGTTCAGTGGGACTGCCGGTAGAAGTTATACTTCGCCGTTACAAATTTATATGGGAGTGAATCTGCACAATCATTACATAATTATGTAAGCTATAGGTAAGGAAGAGCAGAAAGAGAAAATAATTAGGTATATTATAATAATAATGTATTACTATGCTGTAATAGGAGCATAGTAAATGAAGGATTGAATCAATATTTTAATGAAAATATATATTTTAATTGTCTTGTATGTATAAAAGGAGTTGAATGCAAAAAAAATTTTTATACATTCTTTGCAGTAAAATTCATTGTTTATTTTGTTATTAATATAAAAATACAATATATTACTCTGCAACATAATTCAATATATTAATATCAATACATATTTTATATATTATATATATATATATATATATATATATATATATATATATATATATATATATATATATATATATAATAACAATACAAATTAAAATGCAATTTTCATGCAAGTATTTAAAACTGGCAATATACATAACTTACTTACGCATATGTTTAATTTACCATGATAATAATATTAATAAAAAAATAATAATATTAATAAATATTAAATATATTTACAAAAGGAACATTTTTATTCTCTAGAGAGAAAGAGAGCGAAAATTTCCAACGTCGAACGCGCGTATAGAAGTATAACTTCAAAGAGATGACTACGATCGTATATTACACAGTCTAGTGAGGTTCGATGAGATAATGATAGTATATTTGGCATGGAAACTAGTCCAGTTACCACAATTTTTTTTTAATGATTTATGTTAAATTTATGAATTGAAACTTGTGACAAATTGTAACAAATTTACATTATATGTTGTATAGCCGGATGCTTGTAAGTGATTACACACGAATTTGTATATTGATTTCTGATTCACTGACAGTGAGTGGGTTATGTTTACTAAAAGTTGCACATTGC